GGTATACCTGCATACAACAGGGTATAACATTTAGAAATAAATAAAAGAAACTATTAGCCATCCACAATTTTGAAGTTATAGACTATAGTGAACTAACTAGTCAACTCTGCCAAATTTTGGACTATTCTGGTTGTGCTAAATAGCGGGATTTGACCGTTACTCTTATAACGCGCCCACGGCCCCAAAGTTGGGAGTGCAATTTTTGTTTTGGTGTTAATTTAGCCCAAACAGAGAATCTCAGATACGCAGTCCTGTATGTTAACTACTAAGCTGTACTCGGGCAATAAATCTTATAACAGCAAGTATTTATAGTTTCATTTAAGTGTTAGCCTAGTGGTTAGCTTTCCCAGGCAGTTAATCCGAGTGTTCATGATTCGCATCCAGTAGGGTGCACTGTAGGTCACTGTAGATAGCTCATACACGAATATCCAAGACAAGCAAACAAACAAATGCTCAGGTGTTTTCGTAATGTTCTATATTTCGACACATACTGGTAACATCTTTAAAAGTGTATACAGTCTTAAGATTGACAAAATGTAAGAATACGTGAGTTCTACTATCTTTGCTTTCACGAATGAGAATCAGTTATTCAGCAGTGAATAAGTTGACTGGTAAGTAAGTTCTTGAACAAAGTTTTGAATTTCTTTGAGTAGGATTATCTATATCATGAACATTGTACTTCTGAATAGCAAGTGAGACATTTTAATTTTAGGTTATTTATTAGCCTAAAGATGCAACAAGCAGTAATATCCCTTAAAGAGTTTCCTTGCTTTGGCTGCTGGAGAAGTCCAACAAATGGAGTAGTGAGAAGGTGGAAGGGTAAGTTTGAGTGTAGACTGTTAAAGCAATTCAAATAAAGTCAGTGTTCTGTAATTGTGAATTACTTTAACTTTTTAAAACCTTGTGACACTTAAATATTAAACATCGAATAACATATAACATAAAGTTATAGGATAACCTGGGACCTATTGGTTCAACTCGGCTGTTCATCTTCTATACTAAATTGAAATAATTTAAAAAACAAAAATCTTAAAGCCAGCCCTTATCATTCATAGACTTATCAAGGTTTTTCTTAAACTCACTTAAATTTACTGTCTCTACAACATCTGAAGGCAACCCATTCCAAAGGCCAACCACCCTGTTAGAAAAATTAAACTGTCTGAACTGAAGATGACTCCTACCTTGCCAAAATTTATATTTGTGTCCCCTAGTTCTACCATTCTCACTGTTAAATATGAAGAAAGATGATGCATCAACACTATCAATTCCCTTTACAATCTTAAACACCTCAATCGTATCCCCTCTAACTCTTATTTTTTTCAAGAGAAAACAATTTGAGAGATTTCCCTGGTGCCATTCTAGTAACCCTTTCCAACAATTCAATGTCTTTCTTAAGGAAAGGAGCCCAATACTGAACACAATATTTCAAATGTGGCCTAACCAGTGACCTGTACAATGAAATTATAACCTCTTTAAACTTGTATTCAATATTTCTGTAGATACAACCTAAAACCCTATTTGCCCTATCACTAGCAACAATACACTGCTTGGATGACTTTAGAGACTGATAGACTATTACACCAAGATCCCTTTTCTTCCTAACACTATTAAGGTTATTCCCATCCGAATTATACTTATAGTTCAAATTATGATAACTCACATGCATTATCTTGCATTTATTATCATTAAAATCCATCTGCCATTTATTTGCCCAACTAACTAAATGATCTAAATCCTTTTGTAAATCAACAGCATCATCTTCACAACTAGCAATACCCAAGACCTTAATAACATCTGCAAATTTAAGTAATTTATTGACTATTCCTTCATCTATGTCATTGATGTGAATCAAAAAGGGAAAAGGTTCTAAGACTGAGCCATGAGGTACCCCACTTGTGACATTAATCCAGTTTGATTGAACTCCATTTGTAACAACCCTCTGTTTTCTTACATCCACCATCCTTCTATCCAATTTGCGAAATTATCCCCCACACCTATAGAGATAATTTTTACAAGCCTTTTATGTGGCACCTTGTCATATGCTTCCTGAAAATCCAGATACACCAAATCTACACTCTTACCCTCATCTACATAAGCAGTAACCTTTTGAAAAAAATGTCAAAAAATTTGTAAGACAAGATTTTCCCTTAGTGAAACCATGTTCACTGTACAATAAAATTTTAAACTTTGTTAAGTGACTTTGCAAAGCATTATTTAACAGACTTTCTAAAATGTTTCCCACAAATTATGTAAGACTAATGGGTCTATAATTACTGGGACAATTTGTATCACCTCCATTGAGAAGAGGAGTTACATTAGCTAACATCCAATCCTCTGGTACCTGCTCACTGTTCAAGGACTGATAAAAAACAGTAGTAAGTGGCTCACATATCCAATCTTTAACCTCCTTCAAAACCTTTGGGGAAATATCTGGCCCAGGAGTCTTATCGTTTTTTTAATCTTCAAAATTTTTTCTTAACCAGCTCACGAATAATCCAGCCATCTTGTTTGATCTCGTTTCCATTTATCAATTGTTCAAGATGTGGTGTACTGCTTAAATCTTTGTTAGTAAAAACCGTAAAACTTAATAACCCAGCCATCTCATAATCATCAGATACTAGCCTTGTTGTATAATTCCTCAAGGGTCCTACCCCCATACTGACATTTTGTTTACCCTTAATGTATTTAAAGAAATTCTTGCTGTTAGTGCTTTACATTTTCAGCCAACCTTTTCTCATACATCCTTTTTGATGTCCTAATTTCCTGTTTCACCAACTTTCTTGATCTTCTATAATCTTCTAAATCTCCTGTCATACCAGTCAATTTAAATTTCTTAAATTTCTTATTCTTTTCTTTAATTTTATCTCTTAAACACTTAGTGAGCCAACCTGAAATTTTGACTGAAGCTACCATTTTCTTTCTATAAGGAATATGTTTACCTTGAATATTTAAAAATTTATCTTTAAATATTTCCACATCTGATAAGTGTTTCCAAATAACTCAGGTGCCTAATTCACAACATATAATTCTTGTCGCATCTTTTCAAAATTTACTTTTTTGAAATTTGAAACCAAAATATCATTATTCTCCATATGCAGCAAAACATCAAACCCAATAGAGCAATGATCACTAGCACCCAGATGTTCCCCAATTTCCACCCTCTTGATCATTTCTATATTTGAACTTAACAATAAATCTAAAATAACATTGTTTCTAGTTGGTTCATTGACTAATTTATGAAGAAAGCCATCCTGAACAGTTTCCAAAAACTTTTCTCTCTCATGGTTTGACTCTAACATTTCCCAATCTATATGCCTGAAAATAAATCACCCATAATTATGATTTCATTAACAGCTGAAATATTAATCTCATTATAATGTTTCTCCCTAATTTGATCAGTATCATTTGGTGGTCTGTAACGAATTCCCAGTAAAAGCCTTTCCTTTTATATCCTCTAACAGAAACCGAAATTGGTTCAGTCTCCTTGCTATTATTTTTGATAACATAAATTTCAACAGGATGTAACCCACATTTTATATATAAAGCCACTCCCCCCCTCTTAGTACTCTATATCTATTAAATGGCCTGTATTTCCAAGAAATATCTGTCATCAAAATCATCTACGTTTAAACATGTTTTAGTTATTCCAATTATATCAAAATCCTCCAATCCTACCAGTGCTCTAAAGTAATCTATTTTGTTTCTTATACTTCCAGTCACCTCCAATTCTGCTTCCTTATTTAATTCCTCATGTGAATACCAAAGCCTATCAAATTAAACTGGTGGATTTTCTATAGAAACCGAATGGAAGTTAGCTTTGTTTTTCATATCTGTGAAGTTGACTACTAACACAGTTTATTCTTATCTAAAAGACACGCTACATATATTAGCAGGAGTAGCTAAATCTTGTGAAATGTGTTTTCATCAGAGTGCTGAAATAATTCTGTAAAACTCGTTTTACCTTTTTTTTTTCTTCTTTCGCCCGGCATGG